GGCCTCCACAACGAAGGAAATACATTTCTGTTGTTAAGCTACCCATCCTGTGGTACAAACTAAAACACATTTGGCCCACTTCACAAATTACCAGCCTAGCCCTGAGGCATCAGAATCTAAAATGTTTAAATTCGTGTATTCATTCAACATTTGAGCCCCTACTATGGCCTGAACACTGCGCATTTGTTGATTCAAGGTCTTCATCATACAACCCAATTTTATTCTCTTTGCATTTAACAACCCACTTCTAATTTTTCCAACCATTTTCTGCAGGACAGCTTTATGTGGCATTTGGTTATCTGATGCTGCTGCTCCTGATTAAAGGAAAATGATCCTTGTGATGGATCTGTTATGAACAGCATCCTTCTCAACTCTAGCTAGACATGTTTTAAAAATTCCTGTACCTGGACCAATCCTCCCTCTCCAGCCCCCAATTCTGATTTAGTTGGTATTTGGTGGAACTCTGGCAGTATAGTTCTTTAAGCTTCCCAGATAATTCTAATGTGCAACCAAGGTTGAGCACTGTTATTCTAGTCTGAAAGGGCCTTGAAGGTCACCTTCTTTCCCACATAGTTCACAAACTATCAGCACTGGCATCACCAGGAAGTTTGTTAGAAATGCAGAATCTCAGGTTCCAATCTAGACGACTGAATCAAAATTCAGTGTTTTAATAGAATTCCCCACACAATTCAGATGAACCAAAAAATCTGAGAAGCACTAGATTTCCACTAGAATTGCCCAGAAAGCTTGTGGAAAACAAGACTACCTGGCTTCTTGCCAGGATCACAGAATCTCAATCTCTGGTAAGAGCATGAGAATTAAAATTTTATATATTCTTACAGAGGTCACACAAGGACCTGAGGCTTGGGAATCATTCATCTAGGCCAATGTATACGTCCCCTCAACTACCCAGCCTCCGAGTCTTTTTTGAAAATAAAAAATATAACAGAGATATAGATTTTTATTTTTCCATCATGCATGCAAGTTTATAACTATTTATACTGTCTAGGAACAAAGAAATAATTGCATTATTACCAGGGTGTCAGATTAGCAAGTAAGACAGCCAGTTACTGATTGCTGTTGGGAGGTTATTTTCACAGAACACAGCAACAGTTTCCAAATTATACTTCCAAGACTGGAGTTATGAGACCAGGTCAAGATGATAACAATTCTAACAGTTACATGAGTCTCCGTCTTACACAGGAAAGAAAGACTAATATTCTGGTGACGGGTGTCAAGTAAGCACCACATCCTATCAGTTTCTGAAAGAGTTTGAACAGAACAGTCCCTGTCTCCTTTTGTGGATGCAAGGGAAAGGGAGCATCCCCTTCATCTCTTTTTGAGATTTCTTGTTAATTCTGAAGACCTGCAATTCGAAGGCCTATCTCTGGAACTTCATTAGTGAACATTAAGAGCAAAAAGCAGGCCTGGTGTGTACCCCACCACTATCACCATCAAAAGGGAGTCCCAACCTCCCAAAGTAGTCACAGTTGAATTGCACAGTGTCTTGGACTTCTGATAAACAATACAGGCAGGAAGAGGGAGACACAGATGAAAACAGATTGGTCATAAGTTAATAATTAATGTAGCTAGATGATAGGTGCATAGGGTCCATGGACCACCTTCTTAACTTCTGTGCATGTCTGAAAATGTCCATAATAAAGAGCAAAAAGTTTAAAAGAAATAAAAAGCAGACCTATACGGCTCTATTTTCCCATTAGGCAAAAATGAGGACCATGGTGAGATTTTACTTTGAGGCAAAATAAGCAGCATATAGCATTAATCTTCCACGTCCATGAGGCTACACCTAGAACAAAAAAGAAAGCATCCAAAGTAACATCTTTCTGTTTTTGTTTTCCTCTTACAACATGTACTAATGTTGAAATAAAGACTGGACAAAACTTTGGGCATATCCTCGCCTTTAGTGGATGCATCCTGTTACCATGTATTTGCCAGCAATCGCTTTAATTCTACCATTCCCACCCTTGGGACAGTCCCTCCATGTCCCCTCCATCACTGAGAGGTAGGCCTATTCTCCCTGAGCTTTCTTAAGCCATTTCGACCTACTTTTCCAGGCCCATTCCATACAAGACTCATTCCTTTACTGTATTTTTGCTCCAGCTCCCCTGCCTAGCGTACCCTCTCTACAACTCTAAGTCAAGGCCTCCACAGCCCTCACAGAACTCAGAATGAGGTCTTCCATAAGGAAAGGGAAGTGAGGGGGAGGGCAAGTATAGACACAGTCCTATTTCCCCACCCTTAAGGATGAGAGGGGGGAAGAGAACACAGAGAAGCCTGGGCACGGAGGGCCCCGCTCAGCTTTTACGCCCAGTGGAAATCAGTCTTGGAGGTCCAGGACAGATTCTGCCCACCCCTGTCTCCATTACCCCAGAAGAGAATCTTGAGATTCCCCTATACTGGAGACTGAAGCCTATTTCTATGGGTATTCAAAGGTAGTGGCAAAGAAGGAAAAGCAAGTAAGAAAATGTGGAGGTGTGAAATGAAGTAGACACAGGCTCACAAATCAGAAATACCTTTTCCCCAGCAATCCCACTATAGCATTCTGGTCACATGTGATAAACTGAATGTTACATAGAGTTGAAAAGGTACCTAGATTCTATGAGTCTAGTCCCCACCCTCATTTGGAGCCATAGCATAATGGCAGCGAGCACATGTCCACACATACCAGCCCACCCATCAGTCTGAGAGCCCATAGGGTTCTTGGAAGGCCCCTGCCTTGGAAGGTAGGTGTGTGTCTCAGGCACTGGCAGGGGGCTGCGTCCACAGGGAGTTCTTGAGGTCCTTGTTGAATGGGAAGCCAATTGGGGCCGATAACAACCTAGACAAAATTCAGTGGCCTGCCATGAATGAGGCACGGTGCAGAGCTTGATGAACGTTCACTAGGGGAAGGGCCCAGAGGCAGGAGGAGACACATGCTGGAATAGAACGCATGCCATACTGCTTCTCACCCTCAACCTCATCCGTGCCCAGCAGTCAAGGGCCAGTGTGCTGCATATCCTGCAGGATAGCATGGACCCTTGTCCAAAGCCAGGGATCCTGTGGGTGGTGCCTGGGCCAGTGACTCTGGGGCCATTGAACAATCCGTTCTGGCTGATGGCCAGTACCCTGTGCACTAGCTTCCTTTCATAGTAGCAATCTTGCCATCTATGGTATGCATGGCCACCATGAATACAAAGCCCGCTACAGTCAAAGGCTCTGAAGGAGCAGAGCTTAAGGGTGCACTGGTTCCCGTGGAGAATGCCTCGTGAATGTCCATGTTAAAGACGGGCAGGAAAGGCCAGAGCCAAGAACAGGGCGCAGGCACATAGATAAAGGCAGCACACATCTGAAGCATGTGTGCCTCACAGATAAAAACACAGGCGTGAGATCATATAACCTGTGACACTAACGTAAAAAAGCAAGGCCACGGGGAGGCAAAAGAACAGGATCGTCAGTGCCATATTCTTGTCACTGGAGTTCCGAGGGAAAAGGGTGCACAGGGGCCGACACGGAGAGAAGGCAAACAGCCCAACACCTGTGGTCCAGCAGGAGGTAGTAGGGAGACTTTCGCAGATTACTTGGGCTTCTTGGCCCCAGGCTCGGGGGTCTCCACCGGCTGCTTCGCGGCCCCTTGCCTGCCCTCCTTTCCTTTCTCGGCCCGGGCCCCTTCACTCATAAGGTAGTACTGCAGGGGATTGGGCCACAGCTCCTCATTGATAATCTCAACAATCTTGTCAGACTCAATAGAGGTGTGGTTTGAAAACCACCCGAAGAAGCTAGGGCTGTTGTCTGGGTTCCCCTGGCTTAGGGACTGGAGATCGTGTCCTGGGAGCCACTGGATTGGAGTCGAACGAGACACCACCTGGCCTGAAGGGCCACACCCATATTCCTTGATGAGCACCTTGTTTTGGAAATAGGGGTTGCGCTCGAAGTAGAACTTGATTTTGTAGCCCAGCCTGGCGAGGCCAAGCTCTTCCACCTCCAGGCTGTTCAAGTAGCCGAGCACTTCTTTATCTTTGCTGTTCAGGAAGGATGAGAGCTGGGGGTGGTTCTGCAAAGCCTGCCCCCAGAAGCCCGGGACGCTCTGGATGAGGGCGTTCCTGCGCTCCAAGTGGTGCAGCCGCAACTGCCCAAACTTGCGCGAGAGGCGAAGGTAGGCCCTGTCGGCCTGGGCGTTCATGGTCTCCAGCTTCTGCTGGACCGTCTCCAGCGTATCCATGCTGCCATCCGTCGCCGGGGCCCCTGCCCCTGCATCCTTCTCCGCCTTCTGTTCCTCTTCCTCTGGGACAGACGCACTCTCCCCAGCGGGGTCCCTCTTGGGCTTCCCACCGGCCGTGGCCTGAGGTCCCTTCCCCCCTGGGGCCTTCTTCCCGGCGTGCCCACGCAGATTTCGAACGCGGGGGCCGTTTCTCAGCCTCCCCACGGTCCCCACGGTTCCGACGAAGACAGTGTCCGCCGCCAGGCGCTCCGAGAGGGACGTGGCCTTCCCCAGGCCGAGCCTGGACGCGGCCTGCCCGCGCTCCCCCGCCGCTCGCAGCGCGAGGCCACAGTCCAGCGGGAGCCGGGAGGCGTCCTCCGCCGGCCCCGGGAGCTGGAGCGCGGCGCTTTCCAGGCCGCCCCACCCCGCGCCAGCCTGCACCTGTGCCGCCGGGGGCTCGTCCCCGAGCCGCTGGCCCTGCGGACGGTCCGGGGGGTCCGGGGCGCGCGGGGCGTGGTCGGGGGCGGCGCGCGCGCGGCCTTTGGCGCGGCCTTTGCCCCGGCCTTTGGCGCGGGAGGACTTTCGGCCCCGACTTCGGCCGCTCATGATGGTGGCGGACGCGACTTCAAAGCCACGCTCTCACCCCGATGCCTCCGGCGCCAGCTCGCGGCCCCAAGCGGCGGGCCTCACCATGGCAACCGCGGACGTCACGGCTGTGGGACTGTAGGTCGCGCGAGGGCCGCCGCGCCCAGCGATTGGCTCCCCCGCCGCAGCTGCGCAGGAACCCACCCCCGCCGGCGCCCCGACCCCCCTCGCACCCTCATCCTCACTCACAGCAAGGCGGGGGTTTCCCTTCAGTTCTCCCCTTGGGTCTCGGGGTCTCCTAGAAACACGTGTCACTCCTCACATACTAGCCCACCCGAAGGGAGCGTCCGTCTGTCCCATTATCTACTTTCTAAAGGAAACACCTTCAGTTCCTTCCATTATTTCCCGCGACATCTATCATGATGCAACTGCTGTCGGCCTCCAGGTCTCATCTTGGAAAGCCTCCCGGGATGGAAAGGTGAGTACCAGAATGCCAGGCCACAGAGCGGTTGGATCCGTGCTGGGATGCTAACAGTAATTCTAAGGATAATAGTATTTGGCCCGGGCCTAACCGGTTTGGCTCAATGGATAGGGCATCGACCTGTGGACCTAAAGGTCCCAGGTTCGATCCCGGTCAAGGGCATGTACCTTGGTTGCGGGCACATCCCCAGTAGGAGGTGTGCAGGAGGCAGCTGATCGATGTTTCTAATTCTTAATCCCTCTCTCTTCCTCTCTGTAAAAAATCAATGAAATATATATTTAAAACGTAATAATAGTATTTGGTGAATATCATGAATTAGGCACTTTACTAAGTGCTTTATATGCATTCTATCAATATATGAGGGAGGTATTGCTATCATGCTCATTTTCCAGGTGAGAGCACTGTGGCTCAGGGACGCCAAGGAACATTCCTGAGAGTCCACAGTAAGGGACGAATCCCAGTTCACACCCGAGCCTATCTGACTCATCACCTGTGCTTTATATTCACAAGGCCACCCAGGCTTGCTCAGCTGTCAGTTACCTTGCTAGCATCACCCAGTCCTCTAGCTGCCACAGGCCAGTTTACAGAGCTGGGCTGCCACTCAAGGTGTAGGACCAGGAGTGAAGGCCGCCAAGTCAGCATTCCCATGATTGGAGTAAGACAGGCAGGTGGTCAGAGTCTGATTATCATTTAAGAAGCAGAGCAGGGTTTCCCAGGTTGAGGTTCAGGAGTAGAGACTCCATGGTGACAGTGAGGAGGCCATAGACACTTCTTAGACTCTGCATGGAAACAGCCAGACAGCCTGTCTCCTGTTACCAGAGGGAGCCCTGGACCATGCTCTTAACTAGCCAGGTGATGGGACCAGAAAGTATTTAAAACATCAGCTGAAGCAGTCACAGGAAAGAGTGAGGCCAGTGGTGAGCACGTGACCAGTATGAAAGTATGAATGAAAAGCTTTCGCAGTTGTCCTTTCAGGCCTAAGGGGAACAAGAAGTGCCTGGAAACCACCTAATGGAGAGAGAAGCTGCAACGCCCCTGGGAGCCCAGTACCTCTTACTCTTGTCATCATGTGGGACAGTGAAGCAGCAGCAGCCTGGCCTCCCCTGGGAGCTTGTTTGAAATGCAGAATTCCAGGCCCTACCTCAGCCTACTAAGCCAGAATTTTGTGTGTGTGATAGTATACTATGTTAGTACAGTTTGAGTAATATTAATATATTTAAAATCTTTTTTCTTGAAATATTAATTTTTATTGCATGTAACTTTATTATATTTAAAATCGTTTTTCTTGAAATAAATTTTTTTAATAAAGTAAGGAAAAAATAATAAAAATAAATCAGAGTTTAAATACTAACAAGGTCTCAGGTGACTTGTAGGCACATTAAAGTTGATGTAGACAGGGAAAAGGAGGAATTATCTTGATACAGGCAGGCCTTATTTTAAGACATGCCAATAGGAGTAACCTCTAACCTTCTTAAAGGCTGTACAATAGCCTGCACAGCACTACATGATGTAGCAAGTTCAGGCCCCAACTTACCTCTCTGACCCCACCCCTTCCAACAGCCTCCTTGCTGTTCTCAAACTCTAGGTAAGCTCCTGCCTCCTCTGCACTGGCTCTTCTTTTGCCTTAAATGCTCTTCACTCAGATATGGTCAGTCGCCTTAGCTGGCTGCCTTCACACTTGGCTTCAGGGCCACCTTCTCAGAGACTCGCCAGTGTAAAATGACCACCCATCCCCATCCCTCCTACCTGCTCTACTTTTTCTTTTTTCACAGCAGTTATCACCTTCCAACACACGATACCAATTATTGTTTATTAGCTGTCTCTCTTCTAGAATGTCAGCTCCCTGGGGGCAGGGATCTTTGTTGGTTTTTGTGGTTGTTGTTGTCCATATGTGCTTACAACAATGTCTGATACATGAAGAGTATTCATTGAACAATCGTTGAAAGAACCAATCAAAGAATTTTTGAAAAAGGGTTTATACGTTGATTGTCTGAAATTCAGAGTGCTCCTTTTCTCCCCACAGAAGTTATGTGATAGGTGGTTATGTACTCGGATCAACACTGGGACCCTATTGAACTCATAATTTAGCAAAAAAGAAATTATCTTTTGTTATGGATACCATTCAGGGACAGTTAGGTGAAAATTTAAAATGATAAATTTAAGAAATTGAATTAGGGGATTCACCCAAGGATTACCTTCAATTCCTTTTGGAGGCCCTTTCATAATCACTCCTTTCCAAGGCCTTCCTGATCTTCCTAGACCATAATAAGCAGCTCTGTCCCTGATCTCATGGGGAATTCATTAGCCGTAATATTCATTTGGCAATTAGACATGCAGTTTTGTGCCAGTCCTTGTACAAAATTGCCCCTGAAGCTGAATAACCACAGTCTGGAACATTCTGTAAACCTCAGAAAATATGAAAACATCAACTGATGGGGAAAAAATTGATGGGTTGGCCCACTACTCAGAGTACTCACAGCTTGACCAACCTCTTGTCCAGAGCCTTAATCCAGCATCAGCATCTGCGTCATTTAACACCCGCCCAGGGCTAAGCCACTGCAGGATTACATAGGCTGGACCCCTGCAAAACGGTGTTTATTAAACAATCTGCCTTGAGCCTTTTTTCTTCATGCCAGAGAGATAAGCATCACAGTATCTAGCATGGGCCTTGCACATTTTAGTCATTATAATGAAAGTTCACTTTTATTGTAAACTTTATACAGTGCCATCTTCTAATCTGATTAACCCCACAGCCACACCATTGGGGTGCAGTTAAAATTTGGTTACTGCTATACAACAAGGGTCTCTGCTTTTCCCAAGGGCACACAGCTAATCAATGGTTTTAGCCCAAGCAATTCTACCATAGCACACAGGTTCTTAACCACAAATCCATGATGTAAAGTTATTGTTAGAGAGATTAAAATATCAAACTCTCCCTAGTGTGTAAAAATACCTTTCAATTTTCAAAAATTATATATATATGTAAGTATCATACACATGCATACACACATATATATATTTATATACATACAAACACATACATCAGTTAGTCATGAATCATTTTTACCTGGGGTATATACTGCTATGGTAATATTCAACATAGGTGAGTTTAGTTTCAACAATTTGGGAATAAAGACTCTATCTCCATTTGCACTGCATTTGTCATAAGCATTCTGTGAATAGTATGAGAAAAATCAAGTTTACTATCATGAACTCATAAATCTGAAGGTGTTTTGACCTTTTCCCAGTAATTAGAAGCTTGATTCCATAATATCAGCATTTAATTGATTCTTTTATTATTTTTGTTATCCTCACCCAAGGATATGTTTTTATGGAGAGAGAGAGGGAAAGAGAGAGAGACATTGATCAGTTGCCTCACATACACACCCCAAACCATGATCAAACCCCCAACTTAGGTATGTGCCCTGACTGTGAATCGAACCCACAGCCTTTTGGTATACAGGCCCATGCTCCAACCAACTGAGCCATCAGGTCAGGGCTAATTGATTCTTTTATATGTTATATTTCATCAATAGCAAATGCTAAATACTCATAAAAACACTTTTCAAAATATTAGGATAACTAATCTTTACTTTTGTTCTCTGAAACTTGTACTTCCCCCCTTCCTTTTAAGGTCTGTTTTCCTTGAATCCTAGAAATCAACAACTGGGGAAAAGACATCCCAGCTATCCAGCCTATTCCCCAGCCAAGAGCACAATATTCCCCACAGTCTCTGGTAGAGCTTTAAGATCCCAGACTTGACATTTTTAGCCACAGGGCTTTTCTCTTTCCCCAAGGAGGTAGTTCAGTCTAGTCTATGGCAGTGAGAATTGCTTACTGTATGGAATTTTGCCAGCCGACCCTCCTAGGTTATGGAGCATCATGGAAAAGAATGGGGTTTCATAGGGAATATTTTCAAAGCTAAGGAGGAAGAGAAAAATCTGCCTTTTATGGTAAATTTCAAAAACTACTTAAACTTAAAATTTTGAGAAATGTGCCTAGTTTTCCCCAGTTCCCCCCAAAAGGGCAAAATTTTGTAGAACACCTAAGTCATTTGGTTTATACCATATGAATAGCTGTAAGATAATTTAAAATATTAACAGATGTATTCTTCCTTCTTGGCATTTCCTTTTTACCCTACAACGATTTTCACCATTAACATGAGATCTCTAGCCTGAGGCTTTTGTCCTAAAGAAGGGAATATACCAGAGAACCCAGCAGAATTCAGCAAGTCATAGTCTTCACTTTGAATTTCAAAATGGGCTATTGAGAGGGGAAGATATAATAGCATTGAAGAAGGAAGAAAAATGTAGCTCATCAAAGGCAAATCCTGGAGCAATAAGATCATAGAGTTTATAACTTAAACCATAGTGGAAGAAAAATGTGTGAGGAGATACAAGCCATATCTCCAGCACACACAAAAGCAGAACCTTGGGAAAAATTTAGAGAGTGTATAGTTAGTGCAGGATCTTGAGAAGAAATTCTCAAAATTACTCCTCCAGGGGTCAAACCCTTGGGGAGTTGGTAGAGACTATCCTCTCTGGAAAAGGGAGAGATCTGGCAAGGCTAGTTCCCAACTTGAAATTCAGACAAGAACTTTTCTCAGAGGGCCTCAGTCCATCACAGGGCAGCCAGGAGAGTAAGTGCAGGGTAAGTGTTGCCAAAAGAACCTCCGGAATGGCCTGTCCCACCCTCCATCTGCCCTACGTGCAGTCTCTCAAGGCCCCAGAATGAAGTGCAAGAGCAGCTGACATTCTCCATGTTCAGTAGACAGAGGCAAGGAGGATGGCTGAGAACATATGGGGAATCCAAATGGCCCTCTCATGCTCAACCAAAAAGGAGAACAAACTAAAGGACTTGCCAGAAACCATGAGGGACTTACTGCATTAACAGACACATGGGAGTAGAAGCAGATTCCCAAGGCCACGCAGGCCCAGCTAAGCCTCACAGAGGCCAGTACAGACAGAAAACAAGATTCACACCAGACCCTCCTTCGTCAATGACGGATGCAAAACCCTTAGCAACAGACTGGTGAGTTTCCTTCTGTTCCCTGCTACCAAGTGCTTACAGAATTTTCCTGAGAGCCATGCCCTCCTCTGCGTTCTTTCATCCTTTATTTTGTCTCCTCTTACTTTTCTTTGCCTCCCCCACACATTGATGTGTTTAGAGAAACCAGTCTAGTTGCTCTTAAAACTATTCTGCCGGTGTTGCGCCCTCCCCCATTCACACAGATACTAAGCTGAGTCCCCGTAGAGTTAAGCTGTTTTCCTCTCAGAGTGACCCTTCACCTCAGTTTCTTCGTGGTGTCAGAGATGGCTCTTCCGATCGGGGCTCAGGCACTGGACCAGGCAGGTGCTGGAAGTGAATGGAGCGGGCCCAGTGCACATCCTTAGAGAACAGAAGAGGGGATGGGGCTCATCTCAGGCTGGCAGTTGCCACTCAACTCCAGCTGATGGTAGCCATGGAGAAATCCGCATTTCTGTGCGGTTTCTCACTGTAAAAATCCCGGGGGAGCCGGACAGCACAGTTCTGCTTATGAGCCGCACTTTGCGACCCTATTCTACACCGTTGTTGTTTTTAACGAAGTTTTTAAAATGAAGTCATGAGCAGATGTCTGGAAATTAGTTTACTTCCTCCAGTGGAGGAAGATTTTTATGGCTGTCACTCAAGAGAACCTTTGAAAATGAAGGGCAGTGATAGGACTCAAGGTAGGACTCTAGCTGGTGTTAGGGTGGGTGCGGATTTGACGGCAACTAGGAGACATGGGCTCAAGTAAGGGATGATATTTTTTATCAAGCAAGATTTTTATCTTTTTTCATTTTAAACTTCAATATGATGATGGCTATTTTTAGCTGGTTTTATTTTTTTCAACCACAGGACTCTATGCTACCTCTGATTTCTCCACACGTGTAATGTAGACTCGAAAAACATTTCTCTCTCTACAGGATGAAGTCTTCAAACGCCTTCCATGCTGCTGGCTGTCCCCAGCAGCCACATCTGCAGATCTTTACTGAGTGACTAACACACTCCTGACATAAACGGTAAACTTGAGTGAATAATTTCCTCTCTGGGTTATTTTTTCCTCCCCTTCTTAATCAATACCCACATAATTGATCAGGTGGCCCATATGGCCCCTCTGGTTCACACATTAAGACAATTAGGACAGCAGCCAGGTAATTGCTCAAGCTGGCATTTTTCCCAAGACAGGAAAACCTGATGCTTTGCCTTCCTCAGAAAAAGCCAGCTCCATCTGGTCTTGGGTATAATGCAATACTAATTCATTCAACATCCAGCGAAAAATGGGTATCACCCTATTTAGAGAAAATACTGAGTAAAAGTGAATTATGTGGCAGTAAGTTTCCCACGGCAGAATTCAGACTGAAATGTGGTAGTAAAAACATCTAACAGGAGAAGAGTGAGTATACTGTGTATATTAAGATTTAACCCACACTCTGAGAGGGAGACGCTAGTCACCGGACAATAACCAGACTCCCCCTCTCGGGGATCAAATATCAGAGAGGGGACGAGCTTGGAGCTGGGGGATCCTCACAATTATGAGCTCTAAAATGATTGGGGCGGGGGGAGACTTAGAAATACAAGGCCAGGTATATAGAAAAAGAAACGATTTCTGGCACCAGGACCTATAGAGAGTGCCCCTCCCATGCTGCATAGGAGACAATAACTAAAGCTAAAGAGTATGTCGTGATTGAGGAGACTTCTGGAAAGTTAGCTACTCCCTGCATGGGATCTGTGAACCAATGGGACACAAAACAAGTAGCAATTTGATCACAGATTTATTCTTTAGAACAGAAAGAGAATATTTACATTCTGTGGCAAACATAAGACCTTCAGTTGGAGGGGCCAGGAGATTTGACATGTTCTCTTAACTCCCAAGTCCATCCCCACCTCCACCCGCAGCAGGAGCAAGGGAGGAGCCTAGAACCACTGCAGCAGGAAGAGTCCTGGAGATGACAGTGTACACGGGGTGGGCATCCTGCAGAAGGTTAACAAGCGTGCGCGAGACCGCTGCAGTGCCCGGCAGCCCACCCACCACTACACGGGAGAGAACTGAAATTAAACAAAAGTGCTTCTGGGAAGACGATGACAAATATTCTTCTTGTCTCTGGTCTTCCATTACTCAAGCCAATTAAAAAGTAAATCAAAAGTACCTAAAAGAAGCAAACAGCAATTTTCCAAAATTTATAATAAAACACTATATCAGTGACCAATGATGTTTGTCAAAATTGCTACCATAAGCCTCGTGCATGACTCTAGTAAATGAATTCTTTCATCATCAAGAGAGTTTATATGACGCTAGAGGCATGGGTAGGGTCCCTAGCCCCGGCCGGCAATCAGGGCCAGTTGGGGCCTTCCAGCTGCCAGCTGGGGCCTTCCTTCTCCGGCTGCCGGCTGCCAGCCAGGGCCTTTCTTCCCTGGCTGCCAGCTGCTGGCTGGGGCCTTCCTTTGTTCCGTGCTGCCCCCTGATGGTCAGCGTACATCACAGCGAGTGATCAAACTCCTGGTCTCCTGGGCGAACTCCCATGGGGACAATTTGCATATTAGGCTTTTATATATATAGATTGTCTTAATGATGAAATAACTCATTTCCTAAAAGAGAACCCTGGAAAAAGTCATGTTAAGAATCATACTGGCATAATTCAGATTTTCCTAAGGGCCTGTCCTTCTGGCCTTAATTTTATCATTCAGTCATGACTGGAAAGTATTACAAACCACCCCAAAACTACACACAGTTAACAAAGTAGCATGTCACTTTAAAATGGCCAAAGCAAAGCAGTGACTAAGCCTGACATCCATGTAGCCAAGAGATATTAATCTGTTGCCAAGTAGGGCAGCAAACATTCAAAAAGAATAATACCAATCTATAACAGCTTTAAGTATGGTGCTGTGCCACTCACTGAAGATTAAGAGGAAAAGTAATACTTTATCTACAAAGTCAAGATTATTTGGAGCCTCCATTAGTGGCACAACACTCATCTCTAGACAAGCTGGACTCCTGCATCTACATATAGAAGTCACTTGTATGAGGGAAATTCTGAGATATTAAACTTTGCCTTCATTCATGTGCCCAAAGTGTCTACCACTCCACCACTAGAAAGTTGTGCTACCTGATAATAGCCATGTGGTACTAGGAATTATGAATTGTTCTTCGAAGTTATGACTTATTCCCATCTAGTAGACCTTCCTCAAAACAGAAGATGAGAAAGAGTGGGGGCATCTGCAAAAGTCCTGTCTAGTCCAAAAACACCCTAGGATTCTAATCCAGGTGAACAAGAATACTCTTCTCTGAGGACCATTCTGAGGATTCAAGCATTGAGGGTGGTGATTCTATCTTGTACAGTGGTTCTCAAACTGTGCTCCAAGGAGCTCTTGAGGTTCCATAAAGTTGTCTCAGAAAGAGCCAGACAGAGGGACACACACTCATGCATGCCCTTACCTCCATTCCCGGGACTTGCCAGACTAGTTAAGGCTAAGATAAGAAATGGGGCTTTGAGTAATGAGGCTCAAGGAGGAAGAAGAGAGAGAGGAGTTCCTTTTGATATAATAATACATGAAATCTGCACAGGGAGGTTCCATTTTAGTAGTCTGGAAGATTTGTCTGCTAAGTATTTGTTTCGCCTGAGGGTATAAATGGTTCTACCTCACTCTTACTCTTCACGACCCATTCAGAGATGGAACTAAATGACTGGGAGGAGAGGGGTGGGAGAAAATTAAAGAGACAGTTCCAGGGGAGAAACAAAAAAGAGAGGGTGTCAAAGGCGGGGGGGGGGGGGGGGTGTTGTTCTCTGTGCCACCAAGAAGGTGACCGGCCATGTTATCAAGCCCATGACTCTTGAGGTGAGGATGGTTGAATGTTGGACAGGCACATCTCTGAAGCTCCTACCTCCCTCTAAACTCCTTGGGATCCAGCGAGCTCTGGAATGGCTGCCAGTAAGGCTTTTCAGCAAGCGTTGTTAGTGTACCACTTCCTTTCGCAGTAGTAGTGAATGCACATCCATAAAAGGCATCCACTTAAGATTTACTTTGAGTTTTTAAAAACAAAAAGCTTGAAATCCCACAATTTAACCCAATCTTCCAATTTCCTGGGAAAGGAAATAGGAGCCTAGATGAAAAGGCTTGCCTAAGGTCACGAAGAGAACCAGCCGAAAGTTGGACCCAGAACCAGGACTTTTGGCCCCGGTCCGGTGTCCCTCCTCAACAGCTCCCATATCCCTGATCCTGGGCTCCCACCGCTGGTGCTCACAGCCCCACCAGTTAACTAGGTGACCTCGCTTCCAGTTCACATGGAGGAGGCTGAGTTGTTCGGACTGTGCAGCAGCATCACCTGCTCTGAAAGGAGCCAAGCCCCCGTCTTCCAGCGCTAACGAGGCTCATCTAAAGCCTCAGCACCCGAGGGGGTGAGTTTCTGCCCCATCTGCATTCCCTTCGCCCTCAGGCCCCTTCCTTTCGGGCCTGCCTTGTACTCCTTTGAAATGCCTCCCTGGCTTGCCAGGATGGTGCAGCCCACTAGCTGGCTGCCAGTTGGATTTTCTGTGGGTTTCCACGTTGCAGTGGCAGGACTGTGTAGAGGCCCAGATGCTGCAGCATAAGTAAATAGCACATCTGGGACCTGGAAGGGGTCCAACTGCATATTACAGAAAAGGCTGGGGTGGAAACAGAGCCAAATGATACACAGCTGGAAACTTAAGTTAGGAGTGAGGTGGGGAGCCGTTCAAGAAGAGAGAGAGAGAAAGAAATGGGAAGGGAGAGAAAAAGATCAAACCAGGGATTACTGTTGTTGGGAAGACTCTGGATTTTATTTGCCGAGAAACAGACCCATGGTTTGCACAGCCGTTGAATGAAGAGCATGCCCACAGAAATGACAGTTTATAAGAGTTGACCTCACCACACAGAGGCTGAGCAGGGCTGGGGAGCTTTACTCCTAGACATCTGGTTGCCTTCAATGTGTCAGATTGGTCACCTCCTAGCTATTTGAATCTATAAATGGCCTCATAATGAGGAGGGTGCAGGAGTTCTGCCCTGCACTGGTGAGAACCCCAGGCTCCCTGCCTGGGATCACCCGGTGTTTGGGAAGCTTAGTGAGTTCCCAGGCTCCTGGGCAGACTCAGCTGAGTATGCTGGTCATGAACATGCAGAGAATGAAAGAAGAGGAGGAGGAGGAGGAGGAGGAGGAGGAGGGGGAGGGGGAGGGGGAGGGGGGGGGGGAGGGGGAGGGGGAGGGGGAGGGGGAGGGGGGGGGGGGGGGGGAGGGGGGGGGGAGGGGAGGGGGGGGGGGAGGGGAGGGGAGGGGGAGGAGGAGGAGGAGGAGGAGGAGGAGGAGGAGGAGGAGGAGGAGGAGGAGGAGGAGGAGGAGGAGGAGGAATAGTGATGTCACTCTCTTCCAGCCCAGAGGCCCAGGTTGATGGCTCACTGAGTGAATAAGCAATGGCTGCAGAGGGCACTGCTCACACCCACACCCAAGGCCAGAGACTACAAACTACAATGACATCACCAAGCAGAGGAGAGGAAGTTTAAGTGAAGGGGAAATTAGGGCAAAAGAAAGAGAGAGAAAAAAATCAATTTTTCTCCCTTTTAATGGAACTCAAACGCATGGATTACCCTTCTTAATGGGTAGTTTCATTGAATCTCCTGGATTAAAGATACCCCAAATTAAACCTTCAAGAGATGCCAGAACGCAGACATTCTAAACAAAGCACAATATTGCAGGGCCAGACTTTTCTAGATCCTTCAGCCGCTCCCACCTAGTCCGTGTCCTGTGGCAAGTGACGCAAGGTGAATGAGTCCTGCTGTGCTATGGAGAAGCAAGGCTCCTCCCACCCACCTGGGGCTGAACTTTGAAGGCCTTAAAATGCAGGCTTGTTGTTTTTAAGGAAAACAGATGACTAAACAAAATGGCCCTCGAGAGGCAACACTTGGTTTGGTGGAGATTCCAGGTGTCCTGCATACGCAGGAAATCTGAAAGGGTAAGTGACTTCCTTTGGGTCTTGGTTGGAAAAAGTTCCTAATTGGCAGTAGTTGCATTTGGAGAAACTCTCAGAACGGTTGAACCCTAACACAAGGACTAATCCTGGACACTAATTCGTAGTGTGTAAGTTTCCAGCATTCCAGCGGAGGTGAGACACCAGCTGACCTTCCCAATATCACTTACTGTGATTCTGAAGTCTTTTTATAACACATACTTAAGGAGTACGGTTCGAAGTAGATGTGATGCAGTTACAGACCTAGGCATAATTTTAAAGCCTAAGTTCATTTATTTGAGAAACTAGTGGCCCGGTGCACATTGAAAGGAAATTGACTAGAAGAAGTATTTTAATAGCGCTATTCGCCCTTTCTCTATAATAGAAGTGTCCACCAAATTCACAGTTGACAATGACAGATTGAAACACACACGTGTGATTGGCACCAGCGAGAGCTTTATGTGTATCGCGCATGCACAAGTCAACGTTTATTTTTAAATTGCCAGTGCACGTCATATGTACTGGCCAGTCAGACGATCGGATGGACAGACAGATGGACGGTCAGTCACTTAGCCTTTTATATATATAGGGGATATTTATTGAGCACTTTCTAGGAACCAGGCATTATGCTGGAAGCTGGGAGTAAACTGTTGAGTGGAACAAAGCCCTGCCCTCATGGAGCTTATCATTTAGCAACCGGAATCCTGCAACCACTGTGACAGTGAAACACAGCTGTTAATTTCATTCAACGTTAATTTCTTGGAGCACTAGTCAATCTAAGCTGGGGGTGGGGGGGAGGCTGCAAAGCTCTGAAAATATCCCATGCCTAAAATACAATTCTATTTAGAAAAAAACCTTAATTTCGTGGCCTTTCAAGAATACAGAAACTGCATAAGGGGAGGTAAGCCAGAATTCTTCTTGTAGCCTGATTATTAATTTGTGGCTTAAAATCTCCTATGGGGAAACTCCAAACCGAAGTGGCAAGTAGGGGAAGAAGGCAAATTGGGCAGTTTGAATTTAATGGGAGGTGTGTTCCCTAAAAGCATCTCATAATTCAAAATCCAAACAATTCAAGAGCAGCCCTGACCATGGAGGGATATTTGGGGCGGGGGAAGAGTTTGGGGAGCAGTGAGTGCTGTTACCAGCTGAAATGACATTGCCACAAGCAACAGCAGAGACACCGTTCACCGTCTGTCCTGCCGCTGCTTTGAAATTAGGTGATTCTTGTCTCATTCTTTCTTGAT